TTTTAATAGGACCCCCCCCCCCCCCCCAATCAATCAGGAAACTTGATGCCTAAGGAGATTAGGCAACCTCCAGGCTTGGGAAGATACCAGGTCCACATTCAAAGGCAAGAGGCCAGAGAAAGAACTCCTACCTATGGCTCAAGATCCTGTCTGCACACCTCTCTGTCCCCCATGGGGAACTCCCAAACTGAGACTCCTCAGATTTATTCTGAGGGCACCAAGAAGCCCATCCTCTTTCCTAGAGGAGACTCTGTGGGATCCAATATATCACAGGCTTTCCTGACTCCATCCTGGTCCTGCTTCCTTCCTTCCTTCTGAACTGCTATTTTGCTCCTCTGGACTCTAAGACATGAACTCAGTTGTCCTGGTCAGTTGATGGTAAACATTCAGCCTAAGAACAGCTCTGTGGGGTGAGGCATGGGGAGGGGGGTTTGGTCTCCCTAAAGGAGTGACTAGACAGATGTGTCCTACTGGTGGTGGTATCAGATGTCAGGCAAGGGGAGGCCCTTAGTGGGGTAGGAGCTCAGGCAGACCCCAAACCAAAGGAAGCCAGATGCCCAAGTCCAAGTCATTAGTGCTGAGTGGGAGAATCCTAGAGGTGTCCAAGGCTGCTGGGAAGGGACTGGTGATGAAAAGCACAGGAGTAGACTGGGTGCACAGGCAGCAGTAGCCTCACTCTGAGTGGACCAAGGCCCCAGCTCCTTGTCCGAAGCCAAAACCCTTGGGTCCGAAGTTTTTAGCATAACATCCTGCAGACAAAAGAGAGGGTAAGGATGTGTTCCTGTCTCCATAGCAGCTCCTCCTGCCACTCCTGGTGTCTGGTCTCTACAGAAAAGACTCCCAGTGCCCCCCTCCACTGAACCCCCAGGCTCAATAGTGAGCAGATTCTTAGATCCACTCTAGACCCATGTCCCTGCCACTTCAATAAAGGAAGGGGCATCACCTAATGAAAAACACTGGACAGGGCATTAGGATCACAGGCTCTACCCTTGTCTCTGCCCTATGTTGCCATCTGACTCCAGTCATGTTGCATCTTCCCTCTGGTCTGTGACATGAAGATGTTCTGGCTCTTGGACAGAAAGGCCAGGAATTGGTCCATTCAACAATGGCACAGCTGCTTGGTCTCCCTCCCAGCTCCAATCTTCTGATTTCAGTGAGAAACAGAACTACCTACCTTTGCAGTAGATTTCACCATCCTTGTCTGCCAGGGTGGTTGACTCAAGGCCTTTTCCACATTTGGCACATCGGAAGCAGGACTTATGCCAGGACTGGGTAAGGAAGGAAACAGTTAATGTTGCTGCCAGTGACTAGGGTGCTTTACCCAGCCTGCTATGACCTTGCCATTGTGGATAGGTACTTTGCAAGTCAGCTGGGGGAAATGGGGCAGCTGGGATAATATGGTCCTACTGCGGATGGAGTAGAACAGTGACCAAGCATACACCAGTGGTGTACAGCAATGAACAATCACAATGACTCCCTGGCTAGTGACACCAGCTACACCACAGGAGAGTAAAATTCCTCCCAGGCAGCTGCAACCCCCACAGGCTGCCAGGTAAGCCTTCTCCACACACATTTTGCCTGTGGAATTGGTATGGATAAGGGCTCTGGACCCATCCTTGCATTGCCACATGCTACTTGAGCAGTCTCCCTAATGTCCTCCCCTGGAGACCTGTTTATCTTGCAGAATGGATGTGAGGATGTGATATTGAAATATCACAGTACACAGCCACACAGCAGGCATTTATCTTTGGGATTTTCATGGACCAATCCAGCCTCTGAAGTTGTAGAACTTTGTGCCTCATTTACCCAAAGGCTATCAGCTCTCAAAGAGTGGTATGGCCTTATCTACTTTGTAGCTGTCAGCATTAAATGACTTCATTAGTGTCAAGTGCTTGAGTGCTGGGCACAGAGGAAGCAAGTCAATGTTTTATGATTATGGAAGCAGACTGTGTCTGTCTGCAGTGCACTGAAGTCAACAGGAAAGAGCATCTCCAGAGGCCACAGAAAGCCCTTTGTGATTCCAATAGGTGCCCTAAGGCAGTACAGAGCAAAAGAGCTTCAGAGAGAGAGAGAAGAGAGAGAAGAGAGAGAGAGAGGAGAGAAGAGAGAGAGAGAGGAGAGAAGAGAGAGAGAGAGAGAGAGAGAGAGAGAGAGAGAGAGGTGGGACTCAGGTTTGTGCATGGCACGCGTGTGCGTGCACACACACACACTCTTTCACCCAGCAACACAGCACAGACAATACAACCCGACGGCCAGCTCCCATCAGCAACAGGTGAACAGGCTGAGGTGATATACAGACAAGCTCTGCTAAACCCAGGAAAAGCAAGAGGCTGGCAGCACTCATCTGGGACAAAACAACTCCATTTAAGGACAGTGACTTCCTCAGCATAGCCATTAGTGTACAGACTGGAAAGTAAGAAAAGAACCTGAGGCCCTTCTGACTTTCTGGCTGTTGGACCCGGCCGACTGAGTCCTCCCTCAATGCTCTGTGCAGCCATCTCTATAAAGCAGAGGCTGCTACACCAACTCTCCAAGCTGGAAAACAACTGAGTCACATCCAGGCTACCACCCATCTTGTACTTCCTAGCCACCCCTAAATGAGCCCAGTGTCTTTGCTCGCTCACCCAACACCTAAAGGCACTCTCTGCTCCTTAATGCTTCTTTTTCTGTCCCAGGCAAAAGAGGGGGGCGGAGCTTCTCACTTCCTTTTCCTACTCAAAATTCTCTTATCCTATCCCTTAGTACAACCTTAACTTTACCTTATACCCTATGTAGTGGAAAGAGGGACCTGGGTATTTCTTTGATAATATTAATGTCTTTTGCTTCTTTTCAGTTACTGCTTTCTTTTTTCTTTTGGGGGTTTGATCTGGGAGTACACAGTGCTGGGATTACAAGCATGTATGGCAATGACTGTTTTCATTTGATTTTTAAAAAAAATATTTTACTCGGGTCTGAAGAGATGGCTCAGCAGATAAGAGCACTGGCTGTTCTTTCAGAAGATCCAGGTTCGAATTCCAGTACCATATGGCAGCTAACAACCATCCCTAACTCCAGTTCCAGGAAATCCGATGCCCTCTTCTGTCCACCAAGGGCACTGCATGACCCAGGTGCACTTATACACACATAGGCATAACACTTATACACATAAAATAAAAATAAATTTTTAAAAATTTACTTATTTTTATTTTATGTGTATGAGTATATATCCTGCATGTATATAAGTGCACCCATGTTGTGCAATGTCTACGGAGATCACAAGAGGGTATCAAAGTTCCTGGAACTGGAGTAAAACAGATGGCTGTTAGCCACCATGTGCGTGCTGGGAATCGAACCTGGGTCCTCTGCAAGAGCAGCCAATGCTCTTAACCACTGAGCCATCTTTCCAGCCCCTGTTTACATGTCTTTCAAGGGCCCACATTACGCACTATACATTCATTACCTCGTTTAATATTAAAACTACCTGTTTATCAGGTACTGTCATGGTTTCACTTTAAACCTCCACTCTCCCAGCCTACTTTACAGACGCAGAACTGAAGCTTAGGAAGGTTGGACTGGCACCTGTGCAGTAAATAGCAAAACCAAATTCAAGTGGGTTGCCTAGGGCCCAGGTAATTCATTGCCATGCTCGGATAACAACACTTTCCTATCTTTCAGAGGGGTTAAGTGGCCTGGAGTAAAGACAACAGTAGTAAAAGTCAAGACTTCCAAGCCAGACAAACCTAGCATGGGCTCTTAGTTCACTTTCTAGCAGGAAGATTTGGGAAAATCGTTCACTCCTGCTGATTCTCAGTTTCTCATCTATAAGATGAAGATAATAATTCTCATTGGCACCTGTGACTGAGGGTTGAAAGGCTACTATGGTCCAGACTTGGCCTAAGTGTTAGTTCCCATTCCCCCTGACCCCATTCCTTAAGACCAGAAAGCCTTCAAACCCATGTCCCAGGTCAAAGCGAGCTGGCCAAGGGCTCTAGGCCCAGTAGCCCAGCTGGTTTGCTGTGTGATCATGGGCCAAATCACTCCTCCAGCCCAGGCCCTCAGGTGAGGATCCAGAAGTCCTCTATGGTCACATAGCTTGAAGGTACCTGTTCTATGGTTTGCTGATGGCTAGTGTAACACTATGAAGTTCCAGGGCAAGAGCTCTCTGCTTTTCTCCAGCAAGGCCTGAATGGAGGATGTGCTCAATGAGCTATCTGAACCATAGGCCCATGGGGTGATTCTTACTAGGTACTGCTGACTGAGGGTGAGGGGCTACTATCAGAATACCAAACAATGTGAAATACAAACAGAATACAAACAATGTGAAAAAGCCTTCCAGGAGGCAGACGGGCCCTGAACTTGGAAAACCTTTGCCTTGGACTTACATGGGTGGGTTTCTGGGTATACACACCCCATGAAACAAAATGTGTATTTTAGGAATACACATTTCTGGAATCACAAATCCTTTTGAAAATCTGATGAAAACTATGAATATTCTTCCCAGAGAGAGACACACTCCTACAAAACCCAGCAATATTTTAGGGGGTGAGTCCTCCAAAACCCATCCATGTATCCTTAGTGTCTGGTCCTCAGCTCTAGAGTAAGTACAGACAGATCTTAGCAACTCCCAATGAACTGCTGAGAGACAACCTGCAGCACTATGGATGGATTACTGTTCCTGGGCTAGGGGAGCTCCTTGGGGCTTAGGACAAGTACCCCAAAGGGGCAAAAGTTAGTCTACCTCTGGAAGAGAAGGAGTTAAAGCCTAGTGCTCAGGTTGCCCTGAGTGGAGCTAGCATCACTCCCAAAGCCCTGTAATTCACATTTCAGAAAGGAATGCCCTCACCTCCCCTTTGTGCCCAGCAGCATCTTACCTTCCCAGCACCAATCACTTTCTCCGCAGCATAGACTGCCTGGCTACATCGAGGGCAGCGCTCAGAGCCACCAATCTTCTGGGCAAACTTGGACGCATTAGGGTTGGTGGTGGGCCTGTGGCCAGGGGCTCTACATGCAGAAAGATGTGTGGTGAGATGACTTTTAATGATAAAGGCAGAGCCCTCTCACCTCTGGCCAGGGCCTGGGGCAGCTCTCCCAGACAGAGCCACCAAAGCTAGGGCCACCAGGGCCTCTGGGATCCCAAGACTCAGCATAATATTAAAACATATTTCCCTCATCACCTAGTTAAAACCCCAGAATCACTTAACACCTCGTTTCTAAGAATCCCCTCCTCAGCCCCTCATTTCTGCAGCTCGTCTATTTTTAGATTCTTTCCAGGAGAAATTTGCTGACAAATCATTCTCACTGGGGCAATGACCTGGGCTACAATTTGATAACTCATCATCATTTCCATCTCCTGCACCCCCAGAGCTGAGACATTGTCTGGGCTGAGAGCCAATGGCCACCCTTTACCAGCAGGTCAAAGGCAAGAGATACCTAGGGTTGGGGTAGGGGGACCCAATGACACACTGTGGCATGTCTCAGGCAAGGAATGACTTCCCCTTAGCAGGGGTGACAGATGGGTTTTCAGCTATAAAATGAGGAAATTGAACTAACTCCTGGGGCCCCTCCTAGCTCTGACACTTGTAAAAACACAGGGTGCACACTCTGTGCTGCATTTCCCCCTGGATCTCAGCTGCCTCAATAGCCTGACACAAAGGGCTACTTTATGACTTCCCTTCATTTACTTTTATCATTTGTTCACTTTTTTCTTTTTGCTTGTGCATATATGTGTATGTGTTCATATTAATATCTATGTGGACATGCGTGCTCATACATGTGTAGGCCAGAGGCTAACATCATCTTCCTCAATCACTCTCCATTTTAATTTTAAAATTTTCTTTTAATTTCTATTTTTATGTGTATGAATGTTTTGCCTGCATATATGTAATTGTACCAGTGTTGTGTAATGCCCACAGAGGCCTGAAGAGGGCATCAGATCCTCTGGAAGTGGAGTTATACACATCTGTTAGCTACCAAGAGGATGCTGGGAATTGAACCCAAGTCCTCTGCAAGACCAGCCAGTGCTCTTAACCATGGAGCCATCTCTCCAGCCCCTCCACCTTAATTTTGAGACAAAGTCTCTCACTGACCCTGGAACTTGCCAATTCAGTTAGCCTGGCTGGCCAGCAAATCTCAGAGATCCATCCACCTGTCTCTACTCCCCAGCACCCTGGGGAATTACAGGTGCACATTGCCAGTGTCCAGCTCTTACATGGGTGCTGGGCATTGAACTTGGGTCCACTTGTTTCTATGGCAGAGACTTTTACCAACTGAGCCATTTCTCCAGCCTGATTTTGGTTTCTTGATACACAGTCTCAATCTGTAGCCCAGATTGACCTTGAATTCTTGATGTTCCAGGCTCAGCCTCCCTACTGCCAGGACTACAGGGGTGGGCCACTAGGCATCGCTCCCTTTTAAAACAGTGGCTTTCTGAGCCTCCCACAACTTAACCAAAAGTGGTTCAAATGTGTCCAGGAGCAGGGGCAGAGAACTCAGGAAAAGGTAAAGGGAATTTTATACTCACTCCTCATGCTTGATGCCCAGAGACTCTCCTTTGTCTGTACTTAGTGTGCCTGCGCCCTGCCCATAGCCATAGCCTTTCGGGCCATACTTCTTGCCGTAACAAGACTTGCAATAGATCTCCTCTCCATGCACGGCCACAGTGGTGCTGTCCAGATTCTTCTTGCAGACCACTGTGGAGGAGACAGGGGAATGGTGAGATGCAGTTGAAGTGAGCACTTGCTCCCTACAAAGCTCCAGCAGCTGCAGCTCTCTAGGCACTTTGCACACATGCCATCCTGGTCTTTTGCGACTGGTGCAGAAAAGGAAGCCAGCAGGATAGCCAATGAGCTGGAAGATAGAGGGTTGGAATCTGCATGTCTGACTCCTGGTGACCAAGGCTCTGCAGGTGTTTCCCTCAGACCTCTGGACCCTGGTACCTTCCAAAAGGTAGTCAATGCAACTGAAGCCTACAGGTTGATCCTGGGCTATTCTCCAGGGTTTGTAAGCATGGGGGAAACTTGCACCCAAGGTTCAGAGGCAACAGCCTAGGCTGACTCTAAGCCACAGGCTACCAAATGAAGTTCTTCAGCACTTAATTTTATTATTATTTAGTTACTTATTTTGCCTGCATCTATGTAAGTGTACCTGTGTCATGAAATGCCCGTGGAGTCAGAAGAGGGCATGGAATCCCCTGGAACTAGAGTTATGGGCAGTAGTTGGCCACCATGTGGATGCTGGGACGTGAACATGGGTCCTCTGGAAGAGCAGCCAGTGCTCTTAACCTCTAAGCCATCTCTCCAGCTCTTCCTCCCCTCCCCCCGCCAATTCTGGGTTTTTTGTAAAGATTTATTTTTTATTTTAGGTATATGAGTGTTTTGCCTGTCTGCATGTATGTATGTGCACCATGTGTATACCTGGTGCCTGCAGAGGCCAGGAAAGTGTGACAGATCTCCTGGAACTGGAGTTACATACAGATGGTTGTAATATGGATCCTGGGAGCTGAAGCCAGGTTCTCTGAAAGAGCAGCCAGTGCTCTTAACCATGGAGCCATCTCTCCAGCCCCTTCACTCTGCCTTTAATAGAGAAATCACATGTCCCAACAGGAGAGGAAACAAGGGAAGGAAGAAGGGCAGGGTTTTCCTGCCTTCAAAGTAGTGGCTTTAAAAGAGAATCAGGGCATGCTGGTGGGAGGGAGTCAGGAGTGGTGGGTATGCAGGTGAAATGACACACCCTGAAGAAGAGTGGAACATAGGTGCTCAGCAGAGGTGGACTTTGAAATGAGAGGTATGTCATGGCAATCACATGGATTTGCAGTTTCTAGTCTCAGAAATCACTGTGTCACAGGGAGAAATGAGGTTGGGCACTAGAGTCACAGGAGAGGAGAGAACTGGGATGGGGTGAGCTAGAAAACCTTCAAGCCACATACATCTTCCTGTTATTGCTAGCTCTCCAGCATCGACATGTTGAAAGCCTGGAATTCCATCCCGCCTCTCCTTTCCAGTTTTATGGCTGAAACAAACTAGTTTTGCCTTTCCAAGATCAGTGTCCCCATGTATAATCACATCTGCTCTAAAAGGTAGCTCAGAAAATCTAGTGAGATCTTAGATGTGACACACTTAGCACAGTACCCTGTGTATAACAGGTGCGTAATAAATGTTGGCTGCTCCTTATGAGTATTATACACAGTTGGTACCAGAGAGAGAGAGAGAGAGAGAGAGAGAGAGAGAGAGAAAGAGAACATGCACCCATCCTCCTATTCCTCCCAAGAGACGCAGCTTCCCTCAACCTCTTTAGGTTTCATCCTGGAGGCCTAATTAGTTCTATGAATCTTCAAAAATGTTGGAGGTCAATGTGCGCAGTTGGACTACATCCTAAAACACCACCCTCTGAGGCCAAAAGTCCACAGACACCACTGAAGAGGCCAAGTCTCTTAGTAACTTGCCTTTAAAGGGTCCAACCCTCCGCCAGCTCCTCTGAGCCCCTGGTTGGGGACTTCAAACTAAATAAGGACCCTCTTGTTCTGCACTTGAGATCTCCACCTCATTCCAGCACTCTGAGCCACCCAAATATGGACCCTCCCACCACGTCCCCTGGGGCTTGGCTCTGGGAAGAGGGAAGCAGAGGCCAAGGCCTCCAGCATTCCCTTCTAGGGCAGGAAGAGAGGAACTAGCCTAGCCTGGAACTCTTTCCCTTAAACCTAAATTGAACCGGATTTCTAAGACAGAGTGAAGGCAGAAAACAAAGATAAGAGTGGTTAGGGGGAAACAAAACCTAATTTGGAAAACCTAATTTGGAAACAAGGTCTCCAACGAAAGGTCCAGGAATTTGACTCCTGAGACAGACTGACACCCTACAGATGGCTCCCTTGCTATGCTGGTCCAGATCTCCCTACTCCTTTCTGCTCTGCCTTGTTTCTCTCAGAGCTGCAGTCCTACATACAGTAGCCTACCTTCTACAACCTCCATAGCCCTCTACCAACTGATAATAAGGGAAATTTTGAATATATCTCTTATTCAAGAAAGACCTGAATAAATTTCTATTAAATCATGTTAAGCAAAACAAAAACAACAAAACAAAAAACTAGAATAGTTAGTGTACCTGCTGGAAAAGTATTTCCAGATGCTACCTGGTTCAGTGGGGTTTTGTAATGCTCTTTGGAATTATAGGAAAGAGGCAGCTTCCTCACCACACCTGAAAATGGAGAATGACTCTCTCTGCTTCTGGAAGGAAAACCAAAGTCCATAAAAAAAGTTCAAGGTCAGGGCTGGAGAGTGGCTCAGCAGTTAAGAGCACTGACTGCTCTTGCAGAGGACCTGGATTTGATTCCCAGCACCTACATGGTGGCTACGAACCATCCTTAACTCCAGTTCCAGGGGAATCTGAAACCCTCTCTGACCTCCGCGGCATTGCACGACACAGGTGCACTCACATACATTCAGGCAATACACTCATACACATAAAATAAAAATAATAATTTTTTTTTAAGTTCAAGGTCCTATAGTTTTCTAGAAGCAGGGTCAGGCAGATCCCAGCTCTGATTCCCAGTCCTGATTTGAGTAAAGCCATAGCTCCTTTAGGATAGGCCAAGCAAGTGAGGCCAGAAGGTGAAAACTGACAAAGTTGCAGCCTGAGGGTCAGAGTGAATGCAAGTCTTCTGCAAGTTTCCCCCGTGCTCACAAACCCTGGAGAATAGCCCAGGATCAACCTGTAGGCTTCAGTTGCATTGGCTACCAGTACATGGTTATGACAGACAGGCCTTTCTTATCCACAGAATGGCTGCTCAGCCCATCTTGTCCCAAGAGATAACTGCTTACTGCTCAGAGATGGGCACACCACCTCAGGGCAGGCTTCAGGCCAAAGCTGCACTTTCCTATCAGGCCTGAACTCCAGCTGGGCATATCACCCACTTGACTGCTAATGGGAAGTGGCTACCCTACTGCACTGATAAGGGCAGGGTGGGAGGTGAGGGGGTGGGGGTAAGGATGCTGGTCCTGCTGTCCTCTCTGCCCCAGGTCAAGCCCAGAAAGACTTTACCTATAAGGCCCTCCCAGCTTCCTCAAGCCTATCCTAGACCCTCAGAGAAGCGAATATGAGTAAGGAGCTGAGTTGAATCCACAGCCAAGGATCAGAATGACCAGACCTTCTTTTGAGGACCTATCCCGAGCCCCAGCCTATCCCAGGCCCCAGCCCACAAATGACCCCAGGCCTGGCCTCTCCCTTTCTGATGAGGGAAAATTCTTTGAATTCAGACTAGACATATCGATCACCCAGTTGCATGAAAGGGTTGGAAATGATGCTCCTTCCATTCCTAACCAAGTCCCTGGCGAGATCTCACCACGTGCTAGCCCTGCTCTAGATGCGAGGAATAAGCTAGTGGGCATGATGCCTCAGAGCACCTGACAGTACAGTGCTATGGATCCACTCAGAGCTCTGACACCGGGAACTGCACAGGCCCAAGACCCCACAGACACATACAACCATTCCCTAGGGTGGCAGTTACATAACAGCCCCAGCCACTGAGCTCTTCAGTCTGATTTTCTGCAGCTGCTTCTAATCCCTGACACCCACTCACACCCTGCCCAAGCCCTGTTCCTTCCTTCCTATGCTACCCCCTGAATTCCTGACCTCCATCCATGCCTGACCAGCAGCTAGCCCTCCACAGCAGGATTGCAGTAGGAGCTTGGGCACAGCTGCTCCCTTTTAGTCAGTGATTAAGCAACATTTGTGAGCAGAGAGGGGCCATTCAGACCCAGCAGCCTGGACCCCCTTCCCAACCAGCACCAGCTCCTCTCTTACTCTCTCTGAGAAAAGAACAGCTTGAAAAATCCCTAAGTGATGATCAGCTGATGACCAGATGAAGCTGTTTATGGCAGGCTGGAAGCCAGCAGAGCTCACAGAAGTTTGTCATCTCCTCATTCATCACATGAACCCTGGGCTGTCACTCCAGGCATGCTGGGTAGTGTGGGGACCCTGCTGCCCTATGTTGGGTAGTTTCAGACTGGCCTGCCCAGCAACAGGTAGAGATGTGACTATCAGGTGAGCAAGCAGTACCTGGCCCACCTGGATCCCACTCGAGAACAAACCACCTGGGAGCAAAGGAGCATTGGTCTCCTGGCTGATCTCATGGAGCAGGATGGACAGGACCTCATTCCTTGATCTCCCAGATGGACTAAAACTTCAACCCTTGTGAGCTCTTTTGGGTTTCCCACCTTCTTTCTGCAGAGCCCTTAGCAATGAGTATGTGTTTATTGAACATTTACAACTATTTGTAAGTGCTTCATTTGTTTTACAAACTATCAGTCATTTCAAGTCTCACAACAACCCCATGCAGTATTAACGAGAAAATTCCAGAAGGGAGAATTTGAGAAACTTGTCCATCATCATACCAAAAATAGAAAATGAATTGCAACTCCAGCCCTGATCAGACTGGCTCTGAAAACGGGCCTAACCAAGGCATCCTGCTGCCTCCCACTCAGCCTACCCTCCAGGAAACACAGCTGCTAGTGGCCTCTTTCTCTAATGCAGACTTCTGCTCAGATCACAATGAGTCAATAATTTAGGAATTTGAAGGAAAGTTTCTCCAAGTCACCACTTTCTGCACACATCACCTAGGTTAGGTACCAGCCAAGGCAGCATCAGAGAGGCAAGGTCCCTGGGTAGAGCTACCTCTCTCAGTTGCTGTGTTCCCTACTCCTTCAGGCAGGTGCTGGAACAGCTCTCACACTGGATCATTAGGAGTAGAAAGCAATGAACTTTGAGCCCTTTCTCCCTCTCCTCCAAGGCTAAGTGGACACACTGCTGAGAAGGGTCTGAGCAAGAGAGAGTCTAATCTTCCTTTTCACTGACCCTAACCATAGGCTTGGGGCCTCCTTTGCTTCCTAACAGGGTACAACTTGGATTTGAAGGGTAATGAGACTTGGAGTTGAAAGTATCTTTCTCTGAAATGAAGGACAGTGACAGGGAGGAAAAGAGAGTGGAAAGTTTTCCTAAGGGAGTCTTTCCAGCTTGGCTCTTAGCCACTACCACCCCTCACCCCCCTTACTACCCTCCTCCCCAGGGCTGGCCAGTTCACCCCTCAAAGAGCAGCTTCGGAAGGGAACAAAGAGGTCCTTAAGTGTTTCCCTCCCCAGCTGCGCTCTAGCCAAATGTCAAGCTGTTTACATCCCATGGGAGCAGTTCCCTGGGGTGTTGACAGGCTGAGCCTGTGGGGGCAAGCCTGTCCTGGTCCCCTGGCAGCAACAGCAGGCCTGGATGGTACTCACTGCACAAGAAGCAGGATTTATGGAAGCTGTGGCCCTCACACTGGACCTCCTCAGCAAAATAGACTGTCTTCTGGCACACTCCACATTTCTTGCCTCCTCCCCAGTTTGGCATTCTGAAAAAGAACACAGAAATAGAAATTAGGTCCACACACAGGGAGAAGCAAACACAAACTGCCCACGACAGAAAAGTACTAGGCAGAGGCTGAGGAGCAAAAAACAAAGGGAGGGGAGGCCTCCTATAGGATGGCCAGGCCTGATGGATTACTTCTGGATTGTTCTCAACACCATCTTCCAGCTGCTACTTGGGGGGGTGTCATCTTCTTCCCATTCCACCTTATTTACTGGGGAGCTGCTGGGTACTCTACTAGGAGCCCTGTGCTTGGTACTCTACAAGATGCTAAAGAGCATCTTTACAAAGAATGCAGGAGCAATGCAAGTGAGCCAGCTGGTTGTAGGTGTCACCAGAGTCCAGTGCAGAGAAGGATGCTAACACGCAGATCAACCCGAGTTTGTAAATCTGTGTAAAGTTCACAAGTAGGCAGAACTTGTATTGTCAAGGGATGAACATATGAGTTGAAGAAAAGTATGCCAGAAAAGTGAGGGAAGAAACATCACAAACCATGGTCTCAGAGGCGTAACTTCTAAGATGGAGAAAGGAACAGGGTAAGATGGGATCATTGGGAGGCTGCTGAGACCCTGGCAATGATCTGCTTGACCCATGGGAGCTCCCTTTATAATGGTTCTCTGAATTATATACATGGGTATTGTATACTCTCTTGAATATGATACAGTTGACAAAAAAGGATTTAAGTCAGGCATGGTAATGCATGCCTGTAATGCCAACAACTCATGAGGCTGAGACAGGAGGATGCCAAGTTTGACTCAGCCTGAGCTACATAGTGAGAGACTTTGCCTCAAAAACAACAACAAACAAACAAACAAACAAGCAAACAAACAAAAAACCATGCTGGGTCTGGTGGGTGGTACAAGCCTGCAATCCCAGCACTCTGATGGTGGAAGCAGGAGGATTGTAGGTTCAAAGTTCTCCTCAGCTACAAGGTGAGTTTGAAGCCAGTCTAGGCTATCTGAGACCTTGCCTCAACAAAACAAAAACAAAAGGCTTAAAACAACACAAGAGGCTGGGCATGGTGGTACACACCTTTCATCCTAGCACTTGGGAAGCAGAGGCAGGCAGATCTCTGTAACTTCCAAAGCCAGTCTGGTCTACATAGCAAGAGTCTGAGGTCAGCCAAGGTTGCATAGTAAGATCCTGTCTCAAACAAACAAACAAATAAAAACAAATAAACACCAGGGCACTGTCCTCAAGCACTGCAAAACCAGTTTTGGTAGCACTGTTTGCCTCTGTACTGGGATTAAAGAAAGGTATGCACTACTGTGCCCAGCCTAGAAGTCTGAGTTTTAAACAAACATAACAAACATCCCAGGTGACTCAAAGCAAGTGGCCTAGACCAACTTTGAGATGTTCTAGGTGTTGGTTTAGAGCTGCAATGCTGATGCCAAACAGTTCGGTCCTTTTTTTTTTTTTTTTTTTTTTTTTTTTAGGAGACAAGGTCTTCCTGTAGTGGGGCTGTCCTGCAAATCACTATGTAGACCAGGCTGGCCTTGAACTCACAGAGATCTGACTGCTTCTGCCTCCCAAGTGCTGGGCTTAAAGGTGTATGCCACCACACCTGGCAATTCAGTCCAATTTTTAAAAAAATTTTATTTATTATTTTTACTTTATATATGTATGTATATGCACCCATGTCATGCAATGCCCATGGAGGTCAGAAGAGGGCTTTGGATAGCCTGAAATTTGAGTTATATGTGGTTGTTAGCTGCCATATGGGTGCTGAGAACTGAACCTAGGTCCTCTGCAAGAGCCAGTGCTCTTAACCACTGAGCCATCTCTCCAGCCCCAGTTTAGTCCAATTTTGATCTTGCCACTCACTGGCTGTGTGACTCTGGGCAAAGTACTTGGGTTTTCCAAGCCTTGATTTTTGCATTTTGAAAACAGAAGCTCCTTCACAGATTGTTTCTAGGGATTAGAGAAAATATGGCATGCCGCAGGCCTAGCACATCAGAGGTGTTCAATAATTAGTAAAACAGAAGTCAGAGTCTAAGACATGGTATCACATGTACCTGATTTACCAAAAAAGCAGCACAGAGGGTCCATGCCACAGGGACTTGGGGGACATAGACTGTTCACCTGATGAGATCTGCTTCTCTCCTCTTTCAATCACCCAACAGATATATCATTGAAAAAGTAGATGACCCAGTCTCCTGCATTCCTACCTACCTGCTGTTACCTCCATGCAAAGACTCCCACATATCTGAGGCCCTGCCTCTCTTCTGAGCCTAGCCCATGCAGCTAATTTCAGATGAGTACCTCTACCCACACATGCATCCATTTGCAAACGAGCCACCTGAACTCACATCCTATCGACCTTCTGGTCCTACCTGACTTTTCCATTTTGCTTACTGTGCCATCCCCATCCTCTTGGTGAAGGAACAATGATGGAGCTGGCTCTTTGCCCGTCTTTAGCTGCATCTCACTCTGCCTTACTTACCTTCACGTACCCACCCCCAAGTTGTGGAGCATGCCCTTTAGGTGCCCTAGCCCTTTGGCACCTCTCATCCTTGCTCCTCTCCCTGCCCCCCTACCTGCCTGGTAGCCTCACCTTCACCCAGCAGCCACGCTGTTCCTGGATGAGAACATCTGTGAAGTTCTCTATTCCCATTTGTAGCCATGGCACATGGCATGGGCCTAACCTAGTCAGACAAGGTTATTGTTTGGTTATATGCAAGCCCAAAGGGATAGAAGGAGTTTATGGGGACTTTGAGGAAAAGTATCATGTCTTCTGAAAGAGCTTCCTAGGAACAAGTTCCCTAGTCTCCCTACGTAGCCCAAGAAACAGGAGCAAGGGGTTCTGGGGTTGTCACAGAGCAGGCAGTCTAAAACAGAGCTGAGAGAATAAGTAAACTGATCTTTGATGACATCATTAAGCCACAAACTTTAGCCAAACCTCAGCTCAATCTGTCTTGAACTCTAGTTACACAAAACAACAAACTTCCTTTATTCTTTAAGCCAGTTACTTGACAACCACATAGAAGGTATTCAAAGTGACTGAGAGTCTGCCACTTCCTAATCCATCCCTACCCAGTAGCTCCCAGCTTTCCCATAGAGCACTCTCCTGCCCAGAAACCAAGGGTGTCCCTGCCAGAGCACAACCATACTCTGCCCTTGGCCTAGCAGATCCTCAGCTTTACCTCAGCTGGTTCCTCTCACCTCCTGAATAGGAGGCTGCCAATTTAGCCCTGTGTTAGCTCCCCAGAGTGCCCCACTCAGCCTGCCATGATGGAAGCCTCAGGCCATGCCTTCACATAGAACTGGAAAGGCTGAAGTGAGGCCAAGGACTGAGGCTGGGTGCACTGTCCTCCCACAGAGGAGCTGGAGAGACTATTACCTGCTGCACATATCTACTTTTCCCTAGGCAGGTTCAGGGAGGACCTCAGCCCCACAGGCTCACATATTCCACATGCAGGCAGGCTTTACCTACCTACCTGTGACCTCTGCCAGCTCAGGTAAAGTTGGGCTTGAGTGCTCAGCTCCTAGAACCAGTTCCCCTCCAAGTCTCTCATGTCTTCTACCCTTCCAGCCCCCTTTTGTCCTGAGGACTCCAGGAGCTAATTGCCCTTATCGAGCAAAGGCTCAGGCCTGCAAAACCACATGGTATGAAGGCAATTCAACAACAGCAGCACATAGATCAGTATCTGTCTAACCATCAGTTAGTTTCCCCTTCTTCCTTGCTCTGGGAACCCAGGTTCTGTTCAGGTAGCTGTCCTCTGAGGGTGGAAAATAAATACTCACTTTACAGAGAAGGAAAATCAGGTTTAGAGAGGTGCTCACAACACCACAGTTATAGGAGACAGAAGTGGAGTCTAACAACAGCGCATGCCTTTCTGTCCTCTGTGGCCCCAGTCATCAAGCTGTAGGCCTAACATATTTAAGAGTGGCTGCATGGGGTGGGAATACAGTTCCTTGAGGTGGGCTTTCTTCCTTTGCAATCCCCCTAAAGCAGTAAGGGACATAGTCATGTCCCTAGGGACACCGCTAAGGGAGGAACAGTCCCCTAACCACGTGGTGCGGAGCTAGTTCCAAGCAGTGTTTTGTTTAGACACAAAGTCCTTCTCCTACTGGGGAAGACCCACAGCTCCATACAGGCCTCCCCTTGTTCTCCCTGGCCCTGTGTCAGAGGCCTACATCCAGCAGGGCCCCAGAGAATCAGGAACATGGGTGGAGAGATGGGTGAAGCCCAAGGACCTGTCAGTGGGGGAGATCTGCTCAGGGTGCCCCTTGTCTGGACTGTTCTCTGAGCCTGGTCTCTGATTGGAGGCCTCACCTCATACGCACAGTAATGGGATGAGGCCCCAGGCCTCAGGAGGGAAAGCAGAGACAGTGCCATAGCCAGGAAGCATCACCTGTCCCCTCTGCCCAGACGATGACCCCTCAGGGACCCTGGTATGGAGAAGAGTCCCAGCTGGAGGAGCCCTGGTCACCTCCTTTCAGTGTGAGGCGATGCTGGCTCCTCACTCCATCTCCTTTCTGCCCAGCCCCTTCTTTCCAATAGCCAAATTATGGCTGTGGGGAGGCTGGATTGCCTTAAAAGGAAAGCTGTTTCTTAGTCTGTGGCGAGCTCAGATGGATCTGTGGTTCATTCTCAATTGCCTTCCCAGTTCTAGGAGACAGAAGACCTGTAGGAGGTTGTGCAAAGAAAACTCCCAGTGCTTAGGAAATTGGAGCTGGGGTTAAATAGCGAAGATGTGTCCCTTTTTGGCTGAGTAATTTGAGACATGTTATTTCCCACTCTGAACTTCAGTTGTTTATCCCTAAAATGGAACACCAACTCCCCAAGCCATATCCTGAAGATTTAACCAGAATGCACAAAAGGCATGACATAATACAGAGGGCATGCCCCCACCCCCCACCCCCATTGCCACCTATAACCTGGCCCAGCCAGGCCATCATACCATTCTGCAAGATGTAGGGCCAGATGGCTACCCTTCTTCCTGGCTGGTCCATATCTGGAAAGAGCAAGACTTGAGAAGCAAC